GATGCACAACGCCCGATCCTCTCTCTCGGGAACGCATATGTGAGGATGAACGTGACGCCTTCCTTGCCGAGGCCTTCTTCCTTGCCCGAGAAAGACTCGCCTTTGCAGCTCTCGTAGCATGGACATCAGACATCTTCGTCGGCAAAGCACTCCCGTGTCGGTCCTCAAACTCAGCCATGGCGGTGTGCCGAGCACCATCCACACTCCCAATGGATCGTTCCCCCATAGAAAGTGCAGATGGCCTGCCAACATTTCGGACTCCCTGCTCATCCATCCCCCCAGTACTCTTCCCGCTGGCATAGAATGCCACTGTCGGCAAAACAGTGGCTCTGTCGCGCCGTGCTGTCGCCGATGACCCAACCACAAGCTGTTTTGTCGCGTCCGCGCTACTGTTTGTGACGGGGACGCCCGCATCTGCGCCGACAGCCCCGACAATCGGATGATGCTCTAAGTTTGACGGCGGACTTGGGGGTCTTGCTTCTCTTTCGAGTGTGTCAACTGGCCCACCAGGAGACCCTTCCTCTGCGCCGTTTAACGAATGAGAAAGACTGCGTTGTGCGATGCTGCGCTGACCGTCGCGGCGGTGTCTCGTCACCGTCTCCGCCAAACCAAGGGCCACCTCGCATAGTTTGCCAACACGAAAAATTGTGGGCGTGGCAGACACCATCAGGCTCGTAATCATATCGACGATATCGCCTCCTGCCACGTCAAACCCGTCCGATCCACGCTCGATGACAACAGGCTGTTGTGGCTTGGGCGGTGACACATGGGGTAGACCTGGGGATATCAACGTCCACAAGTCCGGTAGAGAAACGAGCATAGAGTCCATGGTCAGTAACTCGCCGGTACCCGGAAGACTGCCGGTGGGGCATGCGAGGCCGACATGCTCTGCTGCGCTCTGCTCGGCTGCGGGAGTGTGTGAGATATCACGTTCCGGGAGATCGTCGCCTTGACACACAACAACGGTCCCCTGACTCCCCTCCATCAATGCAGGGGGTGACCGCGGTTGAACACTGCGAGGTGGGAGCATACTTTCTTGTTCGCCGCTGCCAGTGGTTGTCCCACATCCGAGGTCGCTGCAACTGAGACTGCCGCTCCGGCAGATGTGAGTGGATGCAGTGCACCGACAGAGCCCTCGTCCCGCACTGCCGGGAGAGGACTGATCTCTCCCTGAACCTCGGGATGACGCATCAACGGTGCTGGACCCTGTTGCGATTCTGGGACTGATGCGGAAGGCCTCATCGGAGCTGTCGCGTGCATACTCGAAGTGTTACCTCGTGGATGACCGCTCCCGCCATCCAACAACTTGCACAGCGTTCTCATATCCTCCCACCATTGAGGACAACCGACACATGCTGTGAGCTCCGCGGCGTCATCTCGAATCTTCTTCGTTGACCAAACAGTGTCCTTCCATCGATCATCAACGACCACCTGCATAAGATGCGATTGCAGCAGAAGAAGTCGTCGCATCATAATCACATGCGTACCGAAGCGAGTCTCGGCGGGAAGCAGCAGAGCCTTCGTCGTGAAAGCTTGCAAAACTTCGCGAGCGTGGCTATGACGCTTGAAAAACTTTGTGACCAAACGCGCCTGAGCAATGGGGGTCGCCACCCAGTCAATGCTGCCGATGTCCTCAAGAATCAGGTCCATGACGTGTGAACACAAGGAATCCAGAAAATGTGCTTGACACTCTCATTCTTCTGGAACACCTCCATCGCAGAAACGTTCGAACTGGCAGAGTCTGTGACGAAAGCGGTGATGTCGGCGAGCTTGATGTCAAGGGACTTCAACCTTCGCAGCCAAGCCTGCGCCAGAGCAGTGGCATCCTTCTTTTCTCGCATAACATCTGTCGCGACGTATGCGGCGCCCCATGTAGTGTCGACGAGATAGTTGCACAACGTTTGGCCCCGAATGTTGGTCCAACTGTCTGTCATTATCGTGCAACCGTAGGTAGCTGCAGTAGCGAGGACAGGTTTCACACACTTTTGGACTTCCAYATCAAGCTCATCCAAAAGTGTGGTACGGATCATGTAATACGTTGGGGGGTTTGGGGTGGGGACTCATGGAACCCCAGGCGGGATGATCAACGTCAACATGCGTTTGGAGCTCTTAAGCTTCACACAGTTGAACGGCATGCCGCTCTCGACAATGAATCGCATGATCTGAAGGTGCCATGCGTGCCCCAGCGGGTCGTTGTAATACCGGCGCCCATACCTAGCGAATCCCACACCCCGCCCCCGGCCGCAGGTGATGCGGTGGGGCCCGGACTCGGAGCTGCAATGTTGCGCAGATTCTGTAAAGGATCCAGTGTCCCAAAAACACCGTGCTGCGAGGTCGGGCCGTTCACGGGCACAGGAGTGGGTGACGAATCCGAAACCTGGACGGGCTCGTCGAGCTGGACGTTTCCCGCACCCTCAGTGGTCGTTGCAGCGGCCTCGCCAACAGGTGTCGAACTCAAGTCTGGTGTAGGCCGTCGTGTTTGCGAAGGAGAGGGAGACAACCATGGATACGCAGCGGATTGATGTCCTGTTGCGGGTGCTCCTGCCACGGCCGGACTTGTGTCTGCGCGTCGAACTCTTGGGACCTTGTCCCTGTTGCCAGTGAACAACGGGGCGAGGCCTGATGATGTGCCAGCGTCCTTCCCACACCCACCACCCTCGACGAAAGCACGAGTGCCTTGCTCGTCGAACGACACAGGTTCCCCGACACCTGAAACTGGCACGGTGCCTTGCGCATCAGGCTGCGTTGCCACAGATGGTCTGCCATCAACGGATGCGGGAATCGTCTGACGAAGCGGACGAGGGGGGAGGGGAGCAAGTGGTGCACATGGAGATGGCGCCACTTGCGAGGGGGCAGCGGTCGACGGGGGCGGCGGAACGACGTCATCCGGAAAACGAAGAGGTGGCTATTGAAAAGTGGGCTCTGCAAGGCCTGCACGGCAGAATCAAATGTGCAGGACACTTGGACATATCCTTTGACCAAATCGCGTGCCACACCGCCGGAGTGGCCACTTGGCATCTATACCCCTCGCCATGAAAAAAGTGTTCCTTCGGCTCACGAGCACCCCCACATAGAGAACGACCGCATAACCTGCACAAACAACGGCGACCGTTCTTCTTCCCGATCGCAGTGGATCCATCTAAATAACGACTACGAGCAACGAAATGCCAAACAGGATCATCTCGTTTTCCATCCGCCTTTGGATCCACCTTAAAAAGGGGAGTCAAAGGTCTTCGTGTTGTGACCTTTTCTACTACCCTCCGCCCTTTTCCCCGTTGCCGAGAAGGACTCCACGGGGCCCTTCCCGTTATTGCCTCGAGGGTCAGACATGTTGTGGAGACCGAATGAAATCCGCAGAAGGGGTGAACTGAAACGAACTTCGACGCCAACGACAAAGAACTGCACCGAAGTTACTGAACAACCGACGAATCAACCTGTAAAAGATGGACAGTGACAGGAACGAACACAAGTTCTACAACAACCACAACGACAAACAAGAGAAGGAACAAACATAAAGACCCCTAGAGACAAAAAAAAAAAAAAACACCCCTAGAAAGAAAAAAAATAATAAACAAATCAACACACATTCCACGGCATCCCGTCTTTGCCATACCCCCTAGACCCCCCATGCATTGCTGCTCATGGCGGTCCCCCCCAAGAACAAGAGAAGGAACAAACACAAAGGTAGAAATAAAGATACAAAGAAAAACACACACACACACACACACACATTCACGGCATCCCGTCTTTGCCGCACCCCTTAGAGTCCAAGACCCCCCATGCATAGCCGCTCATGGCGGTCCACCCCAAGAACAAGACAAGGAACAAACACAAAGGTAGAAATAAAGATAGAAAAAAAAAAAACACACACACACACATTAACGGCATCCCGTCTTTGCCGCTCATGGCGGTCCTACCCAAGAATAAGA